TATAGATTGGTTTAGGCATATTTGGAGGGTCGTGTGCACCTCAAAGCTTTGTTTTTGTTTTTTTTTCCTTTTCTGTGGGCCTTTTTTTTCTGTCTCATGGTGGGTAAATAATGTAATAAAATTGTAGCGACTGTCATATATAAATATAGATATTTATAAAAATACCCAATCCTAGACATGTATTTATAAAAATACCCAAGCACTATTTAAACATAGAAACATACCCAAAATGGGTTTTGGGTATGTGTGTAATGATGGGTTTTGGGTATGTTTATAAATGGATTTTGAGTGTGTGTAATGATGAGTTTTGGGTATGTTTATAAAGTGTTTTGGGTGTTGGGTATTTTTATAATTTCAGCCCCCATTTTGGGTATTTTAGTGAAACTCCCATATAAATAAGTGTAGTGACAAACCTTGATTTACCTACTAATTTAACTATAATTTTAAAATATCAATATATACTATAATATATAGTGTGCCAAAGTCAAATGCTAGATTGTTGTAAACATGTTTTTTTAATATGTAATGAGATGAGGATGAATTGAATAGAGGAGTTGGATTAAGTATGAGCTGTACAAGTACACATGAACGCAATAAAGACATGGGTATATCATGTGATAAGTGTTGTAGAAATATAAGTATTAAAGTATATGTCATGTGAGGGGTGCTATAAAGACATGGGTGCATACGGGAAATTATATAATAGTACGGTAGTAGGATTATATGGTATAGCATGTACATGTGTTATAATATGGGTGGACGACATGTTGCGTCGATTCAGCTGCACCAAAATGGATTCAGCTGCATCTTCAACTTGTGATACTCGCAAGTGCACGAGCCGTTTGGTAGTATAAGATATGTAAGTGCGAGGTCGATTCCACAGGGATTGGTGATTGAATAATCCAATTCAGTTTTCCTACACAAAACAGAATAACAAGAAAGAAAATAAATAAAACAAGAAAGAAAGAAAAGAAAATAACTCAAGTAGATAAGTTCCCAAGTTCAATTTAGATTAATGGATTGATTCTAGCTAAAGTATGATTAAGCCATGGTGTTTGGTCATAACCTTGTGTTCCTAATTCCCTAATTTGATCATTTGTTGTCTAACCTAAAACTAAGCATTAGGAACCCATTAAGCATAGAAGAACAATTTAAACAAC